TAACAAAGTGGTAAATATCTTACCCGCTTCTGAGCCTCCCCCAAGTTGATTCGGCAATAAGTTAGTGCCTGGTTCAGTATGTAAACACCAGTGCTGTCCACATCACCCCCTTGCGTGCATTGCTAAACTTCGTGGGTTCTCAATGTCAGATCTTTCTCAAGCAGTCTATATGGCTATTTAGGGGATCTTTATCTTTGGTATCTTTGAAAAAACCTTGAAAAAATTACGATGGTGATGATCAGGAACAGTGATGATAAAGAATGAATGATGGTGATGATAACTTTGATTTTTAAAAATTAAATGTTGATGATAATGGTGAGTACAGTACATCACGATGATGCTAAAGATGACGATGACAGCCAAGTTGACCTTGACCAGGACTTGAACTCGCGAGCTTTCCACCACGAGGTCCCCAGCACTCGGCTAAAGTGCACGATCCCGTCCGTCGATTAGAATCGACACTTGGCTTGACAAAACAGCAAAAAAATCACGGCGATGAAACAACCGCGGTACATCAAACAAACCAAACTTCGCCACCCAACGAAAACCTCCGTTCCGTTCAAACCTCATGCCCGCCGCGCGGAGAGAAACTCGCGACAAAAATTCTGACGATAGAAGCGGAGGGGGGGGATGGTACCGGGCGCTTCCGAGGATTTCCGCTCGCTCGCAGCGTGATTAAGGGAAAAGCAGCGAGGGCACGCGTGCGTCCGATGATGAATCCCTGGGCGCTGACGGCTGACAGAGATTAATGCGCACTAATGTGCAATAAGGGGAGGGCTGCTCGCCAGCCCCACTCACCCCCAGCTCGCTGGCGCTCTCTCTCACTCTCGCTCGCTCTCTCGCGCCCTCTCGCTCTCTCGCTTTCTCTCACTCTCGCTCGCTCTCTCGCTCTCTCTGTCGCTCGCTCGCTCACGCTCTCACTCGCTCTCTCTCACTCTCGCTCGCTCTCTCGCCCTCTCACTCTCGCTCACTCTCTCGCTCTCACTCGCTCTCTCGCTCTCTCTCTCGCTCGCTCTCTCGCCCTCTCACTCTCGCTCACTCTCTCGCTCTCACTCTCGCCCTCTCTCTCTCTCGCCCTCTCACTCTCGCTCACTCTCTCTCTCGCTCTCTCTGTCGCTCGCTCGCTCACGCTCTCACTCGCTCGGCAGCGGGCGAGACGGCAAATTGAATTGTCTTTGTAGTGCCCACAAAGTGGATGGCGACCCAATGGGGGATGGTGGTGGGGTGGGGGGGGGTAGCAGTTGTGGGGGGGAGGGGGGGTAATGGAAGGGACCAGTCCTGGCCGTGTAGCGTGACCTTGATTAAAGGGGGGGGGGGAGGCAGGGGGGTGAGGCGGGGGCGTGACACAGTCAATGTTAAACTTTAAACAAATGTTAAACGCTAAACAGAACGAGTAGTGGGATGATCCCATATTGTCTATCGTGCAGCATTCAGTCTCTGGCTCTCACTCCCCGTGTGTACGCGGAGGAGAGGCCCCGTCGCTTCATCTTAATTGTGCTCAATTTCAAAGGCCAACGTTTTTGATTTGATTATAAAACTTTAGCGGGGGGGGGGGGGGGGTGGCAGCTCATCCCTGTCCTACCTCCCCCCTCCACCAGGGCCGGTTGGGGCGGTGGAGTCGGTGAAGGCGCTATCGTTGAGTCCGGAGGAGGGAGGAGAGCTCTCGGCCGGATATTTTAATTAACCCGCAGCGTTTTGGAAACGTGCGTCTGAGCAAGATGCCAAGCCTTGAACGATAATAAGGGCCGTGGTGTTTTGTGTCCCGTGGCTAAAAAGCCACAGGACTGTAAGTTCGCGAAGCGGAGAGCGTGCGGTGGGACGGACAAAACGCCGGGAGGGGAGTGCGGGGAACGACGTGGTAAATAAGTAAAGAGACTCTGCACTAATTGGATGTGGCTTTCATTAGGGCTGATTAGTTTTCCATGTTGGGAGAGGCACCTCGAGACAAAACCGCGCCCCCCCCGCCCCCTCCCCCACACTTCGTTTCAGGGGTGGCGGATGCTGGTGGTTGTGCTGGTGGTGGAGGCGCCGGTCGTTTGGGATGTAGCGGTGGCGATGGTGATAGTGGTTGTGCCGGGTGGCTGGGTGGGTTGGAGTGAGTGAGTGCTTTTGTGCGATCATCAAATTATCCAATCGCACCTCCAAGTCCATTTGTCGGTCGGGTTGATTGCCGAACGCGTGTCCGTGTGTGTGTGTGAATGTTTATGGGCTGTGTGTGAGTGTGTATGCACTGGGGCTGTGTGTGTTTGTCATTTGTGTATGGGCTGTGAAGTGTGTGTGTGTGTTCTCAGTGTGTGTGTGTGTATGTCAGGGAAGTGGGAAAATATTGGCAAACGTACTGCGCTTTTGAACTGAGCCAAATCCAGTTGAATTCTCGCTCACATCCAGCATAAGTATTGCTCATCTGAACCAGTGCTGGACCTCGCCTAGGTCAACTCAGTCTTAAATAAGCAGTGTGATGTGTGAACACATACCCGTCAACCGCTTATCAGTGCCTACCTTATTACAGACCAGTTCAGACTTTATTGGTCACCCCGTGCCCCTTAAAAATCACAAAGTTCAGCCTACAAAGTTCCATCGCAGGGGAGAAACACAAACAAATAGACAGAAAATGTAGCCCGTATTGAAACGTCCGTACGCCGTATGGACCTGAAAACTCAATTTCCCTGGACAAGAATACAGGTGAAGCGTATGGGTTGACGGGTATCGTGAACATCAGCACCCGGGATAGAATACGGTGGCCAGGAGTGTTTCTGGCTGGTCGCTTACAGCCCTAACGCGATGTATAGAGACTAGCTTTACTACCCGGCTTCGCACGGGACTTGGATTCACCACGCCCGGCCGCCTTTGTCTCCCCAGTGGCGATGTTCACACACCACACCAGTTGCTCGCTTGAGGCTGAGTCGACCTAGGGGAGGCCCAGGAGCGGTTCAAATAATCGTCACCGGTGGTGGCCGTGAGCGGGAATCGAACTCGGGTCGCCGGGTTCGTAGCACGGCGCGCTAACCGCTACACTACAATGCTTTACGCTTCCACGTGCGCGGGTCACATGACAGATTTGATGTCACAGCTCACTTGCCGTGCAAAAAAAAATATGCATTATTGAGCTCCCCCCCCCCCCAACAAAAAAATATAAAAATATGTTTTTATAATTTTTGTATGGTGTACAGTATGCAAAGTACCCACATGGCAAATTTCAAGTTTGTTGCATGTCGGGAAGTACGCTAAACATTTAGAACACGCACACATATTCATAACTTTGCCTTTTATATATATGGAGATACACGGAGGATCATTGTCTCTGTCTCAAACCTGTGGCGTTGTTTGTAAGGGTAAGTGTCTGTGTGCGTGCCGGCTGTCAGCCAAGCTTATCATCTGTTTCATAGAATATGCAACACAGAAAGTGAGCAGCTCCCATGTGACACACGCACTCAACTCGGGCCACGGGCTGCCTGCCGCGTCGTCCACTCCATGAGGGCCGCAGACAGGGATGGAGACGACGCTTCGGTGCAAGCGCTGGCACTTTGTGAACGGGTCGCGTGCAGCCGAGAGAAAACCTTTTCAGCCCGGACTTCGAATGGGCAAGGATCTTGAGAAATGCAGACAACCAGAGCAAGGGAATTCCGGTAGAGCATGGGGGACAGCAGCAGCAGAGGAGGAGTGCCCTCCCATCGAGCAAAGGTCGACTAAGGGTATTGACTTTCATGGGCCTTTGGTTGCTCAGAGCGGAGAGTGAGCAGAGTAGAATAATGCGATGACGGTGGAGAGAGGTAGGCGTGGGCGAGTCCGTGGTGGATCTTGATGAGCATTGAGTTTGTAGCTGACGCGACAACGGGGTTGTGGGAGCCGTTGGGAGGACGTCATAGGACCGGGGCCATTGTACGCGTTGGCCCGCATGACCCGATTTGTTTGAAGCTTCTGTGTAAATGGCAACTAAAGCCGCTGCAATGTGTGCCGCCGAGAGCGTCGTAACGGCACACCGGTGGCATCGCTTCGTTGACTTTTGTGAATATTGCCACGGTGCCGTCGCAGGGACATCACCGGAGTGCCACAACGACGCCGCGCTAGATTGTGACGAAAAAATAAATATCGTCATCACAGTCAATACATCGTATGATATTATACGTACGTACATGTGTACGGGAACCGAGGTCTCCGTGCGCGCCTCTGTGCATGTGCGCGGGGTCACCCCTTCCTCTTTTAAGCTCCCGTGAAAGTGTGTCACCGGGGCAAAGAATAATTAAATTTCCTTCGCCTTAATTTCTTACTCTTCATTTGTCACCGCGCAAAACCCCTTCGATCGGGGATAGTGGCACTTAGCAGATGAACGTCCTCCTCGGGCTCCCGGCAGACCGGGACACATTGAGTGCCGTGACGGCGAGAAGAAAGACGTCTTTTATTTTTATCTTGACATCAACGAGATCGTCTTAACGACTCGGCCCGTCCGTACGCCGGACGAAGGCCTCCCCCGAGCCGCCGCCCGTCTCCCGCGATTGCGCGGCGTAACGATCCGTCCAGCGGCGAGCGAGCGAGCTTCCGCCACTCCGTCTCCGCGGCGGACGTACGCCGTCGCACGCGTTTCCTCTCCCTTGGCTGCTGCCGCTCCGTCGCTCTCGGCTGGTCGTCTCCGCGGGCCGTGGTGCGCTCTGCCCGAGCCCGCTTACTTTCCTGAACAATGCGATGCTTTTGCCCTGCGTTCGTTCTCTGATTCACGCGTTATTCCTTCCGTCTCCCAGTGTAATCCTCCGCACTTCCTATGCACACTTTTTGTTCGACCTTATCACACTTTCCATTGTTGTTTCTGATCCGTCGTGGGTATTTCGCATTCATAAAAAAAAAAGAACACGAGCGTAAAATACTCCGCGGGACAAACGTGCGTCGGAAAGCATCACGAAATCCATTAATGCGCGTGATTTTTCATCCTTTTTGTTCGCGGGGGGTGGTGCGGGGGGAGAAGTGGGGGGAGTGACCGCACACGTTTATTTCGCCGTCACCCCCAGGTCGCTGTGCCTGGCGGCGAACGCCTACTGCCTGGCGTGCCGCGACTGCGCCGACAACTGCCACTACGTCCTGTACAGCAACAAGATCGTCGCGCTCATCGATCTGCTCTTGCATCACCTCGCCGTGAGTGCCGCACCGCCCTCCCCTCATTACCTCCCCCCGTCCCTCCCATCCCTGTCTCCCTCTCCTCCCCTCCCCGAGTCTTCCTCGCACCCTCCTCCTTGCCATCGTCATCGCCGCCGTCACACGATGATGCACGCGCAATAAGCTAATAAAAACGCCTCCTCCGTTTAAACGAGGGTGACCTTGTTTAAATGGAGGAGGCGGCGGGCTAGGGGAGGCCTTTCACCAGCAGTGGATTGACCATGGTTGCTGGCGATGATGATGGAGACGCAGTGGGTCGCCTTGCTGACGATTCTCCCACGTTGGTCACCCGCGACTCCGTTAACCGCGCGAGGTCACGGATTGCGATGGAAGCGCAGGGAAAACGGGAGATGGAGGCCGGCACGGCGCCGGGTGAAGGCGATTGATCCGGGGGCACGCGCCGGGAGGAGAGGAGGAGGAGGAACAACAAGAACCGTTAAACCAGCACGCCGATATCGATCGGTTTGCCGAACGTGGCGCATCGCGCCGGGGCGGGAAAACAACGCTCGCTGCTTCGCCCGTTTGACCCCGAGGGGAGCCGGGCGCGATTCCTTTTTGCACCTTCCTTCGCGGCCGCGTGTAAGAGGCGTCTGTCCCGGCAAATCCGTCGCAAAGTCCTCGACATCTCCCCGGGAGAAAGCCATTGCCCCCTCGAGGTCGGCCGCTAAGATTTGACGTCTCCACGCAGCGCCCCTTCTCCAGTCACATTCGCCGTCCTTACACGGAGAGCTGCCCACTTACATGCAGAGCCATACTCTCGCGTGCTCCGCGTACTTCCACAGAGACCCATACAGGTTCACGTGGAGAGCCGTACAACTTTCGTAGAGGCCCATGCACTTTAAATAGGTATACATATGTAGTCGGTTCAATGAGACGTGGACGACGTATTCGGAGGCACACTTATTTATTATAACGTTTCACTCAGCACAGGCCAATGTATACACACTCGAAGGGGTAACGGCCCCTTCACCCGTCTAACAAGGAGACCCCATTGTCTCTAACCCGGCTAGCCTACTCCGAGGTCCTCCACTCGAGAGCTAGGGGAGACTAGCTGATCCAGCTCTGGCCAAGCTGGGATCACGGCACCCTTAGTCACCAGACCGGCTCTTACAAGAGCATCGGCTCTGGGCTCTCGGGGCCACGCCACTGGCTTGCCCTGGTCGGTCCTTAGAAGAACGGCGATCCAGGGGAGTCCCAGGGCCTGTCTAGCCGGTCTTCACTCTTCACTGGTTTAAGCTAAACACTGAACCCCGAGCCCACCGGCTCACCGCCTTATATAGCAACTCCCCCCCGAGGGGTGGGGCCGTGGGGGATCACAGCGCCGTTACAGCCCCCCAGGGCTAACCGATGCGGACGTGGATGTAAGCATCCTTCCGCGTGCGGGCATAACCACCCCTGGTGTGTTTGTTCGCCCTCCCGTAACACCCCTACACATAGAAACCCACACATTGGCAAATGTAACGTGAGACCCATAGACTTCTTACACCTTCTGTGCCAGAAGTTCAATTGCTCCGTGGGGTTGGCTGCTCCGTGTGCCCTGCATCTTTAGCCCCATGGCCACTGTCCCCGTACTCTCGCCCCACCGCTTACGACAGAAGCGGCGGACACAAGCTCGGAATGACACCGAGAGACAGAAAGGGAAGTGCACGTTGGTTCCAGGGGACAAACGCAAAAGGGGGAATTGGCAATTATTGACTTGAGAGTCAAGTGGGACTAGGCAGGAGGGCGTCATGAGAAGGGGCGTCATGGCCGATGGACGAGGACTGGTGGCCGAATCTCAGTCAAAGGAGAGAATTGTGATAATTGTTTTTTTACCCTTCTATCTGGCAACAAAACTGACACCTTTTTACAAGGAGTCATGTTTGCATAGACCACAATACCTGCAGTCATAATGCAAACAAAAAAGGAGAGAATTGTGCTTTACTCTCCCATTCCCCCTACCCCACACCCCCACCCCCTCTATCTCTCCTCCCTGGCTCCCCCTCCCCCCTCTCTTACTTGTATATAGCCTCTTGCTGCCAGCAGCCTCCTCTTGCCCGCTTATTGCCGTGGTTGTTCCACCTGATGACGGGCACTTGTGTGTGCGCCGAAAACGTCGTGATTTAATTTATTTAATATTTTATACCTACGTGACTTTGCCGAAAGAACCAAAGAGCAGAGGAGAGAACTCGCGCCCAGGCACGATCAAGACGGACCAATGAGATCAGATCGTTGCGCGAGGGTCGGAGGGATCGTGGTCTCACCGGAACGTGAGATACGGTGACATTGAAGGAAAGGAGGCCCTTCATCCAGCAGTGGATAAAACAATAGCTGGTGCTGCTGATGATGATGATGAAAAAAGGCAGCATGGTTAGATTTCGTTTTTGTAGCAGCCTCCTGTGTAATTCTGACCGAGGTGTATCGGGGAGAGGAGGAGGAGGGCGGCAAGCCGTCGTGTTAATAAGTTAACTCGTTGGGAGAAGTTAATCCGTTTTCTTGTAATCTCTTAACGGATCACTGCTTCCGAGGCGGTGGGCGTACGTTAATGAATTATTAAGCTTCTTACCGCTTTTTGGGCTAATTCATCGAGTTTTGAGAGCGAAAACACGCTTCGGATTAAAGCATCAACCAAGGGCGCCTCGCCTAAGAGATCTCCCAAATCGCAGCGATGGAACCTCTCGGTCCCATCGCTGCGACTCCCCCTCCCCGTTCCGCCCCGGGGGTCTGTGAAGTGAACGACGAAAGCGACGACACCAATGTGTTGGCTCCAGGAAAAAAAAACTAAACTAAACTATTTTTTATTTTACCAGGTAAGGCCCCACTGAGTTACATCGCTCTTTTTCAGAAGCGACATGGCCACAAACGATCGTCCAATGAAGTGGCTTCTCACGTGGACATTTATTGCAGCCAAATACACTAAAACGCACGTTTCTCAATGTGGAGGGAAAAGCCGGAGGACCCGGAGAAAAATCCACGTGACCACGGAGAGAAACATGCAAACTCCAGATATACGGGCGTCAAGGTCGGGATCGAACCGACGACCTCCATTATTTCAAACGAGGCAGTTAACAAGACGTCTCTGCGATCGGCACACACGTCGCCCACGACGACGAGCGGAGCAGGAATGTGGACAAGGGACACGCAGCAAGGGCTGAGTGGTGGTGCGGGCACACACTCGGAATGACTTTCGAGAGGGCAGCAAGGGGAACGCACGTCGCCACGGTGGCTAGGAGATGTTAACTACCTCGCCTGGTATACAGGAGGTCGTGGGTTTGATCCCGACCCTGACATCTGCTGTATATTTGGAGTTTGCGTGTCTCTGTCATCATCATCACGGTGGCTAGGAGATGTTAACTCCCTCGCCTGGTATACAGGAGGTCGTGGGTTTGATCCCGACCCTGACGCCTGCTGCTGTATATTTGGAGTTTGCGTGTCTCTCCCCGTGGTCGCGTGGATTTTTCTCCGAGTCCTCCGGTTTTTTATGCGTTTAGAATCTTTGGCCGCTAAAAATTTCCACACGATGATGAGACACTTTTGTTGAGTTATCATTTGTGGTGGCCAGGTCACTTCTGAAAAAGAGCTACACAGCTCAGTGGGCCTCACCTGGTAAAATAAGAATAGTAGATCGGAGAACGTACGCAAAACGCAGTCTTGGAGTTGAACGCTTGGGCAAGGAGACGCCAAGAAGGAAATCACGAGGCTCTCGGCACGCGGCGCGAAACGGCGGACGTCGTGCCGAACAGCACGCGGCGCGGCATCGAATCTCGCCGGAGAGCAGCGGCACCGTACGATCGCGATCGTGGGGAGCGGTCTCCAGGGGTGCGGCGACCGAGGGGAGGGCCCCGAGTGCCAGATGACAAAATAAGTCGACACGTCCGTCATCAAACACCGCCTTTTGCGGAGGTATTGACAACGTGTAGAGTTGTTTTGTTTGGTCAGTTGTGCCATGTGCACCGCTAGCAGTGCTGCACTTTCACAAAATTGTGTGTTTGGTAAGTGCAGATGGTGGTGGTGGCACGCTGCCAGGGCAGCTGTGGGCTCTGGCGGAGGGCAGAGAGTGTCGATGAATTGTGGCGGCTATCGCAGCAATCGCAGCATAACACTGGTCAACAAAATTTTTTTTTTAATTCTGGCCTGGACTTTTGCAGCTGTTTTAGACTAATTTCAGGGTGCTGATTCCAAATCTGATCTCAGATTTGCTCTATCACATTTCATCTTATACTATCGGCATACCCAATTCTCATTGATTTTACCCGAAATTAACTCTGTCACTTATGATTGCAAGTTGTTGCGAGTCAGTGACTGCTTTAGTGTTAAAATATGGTACATTTTATGTAGATATCCACATTTATTTAATATTTTTCTTCCGCAGTTTTTATTTAAAATGCAATATTTGAGATATCTTAAACCTGATGTGATAGACAAAAACCGATGCCAGATTTGGAATCAGCACCCCAAAATTACCTTAAAACCGTTGGAATACCTTATGCCAGAAAAAGTGTGTTGACCAGTGTTATCATGATGATGATTCTAGAAGGGCTCAAAGATTTAGGACTGGGAGGAATGTTGATTTGGTTTCACTCCGGGCAGGATCAGCTGGGAGAGAGTTCTAAATCGCTGTTCTGAATCTCGCGCTAAACACTGATTACGCACAGTACGATCCCAATCAGCAGCGGACCGAGTAATTTGCCTCCCGTGGAGTGTGACGCGAAAGCCGATATGCCAGATTTGGAATCGGCACCCCAAAATTACCTTAAAACCCCTTCTTCTTGGTTCTTTCGGTAAAGTCACGTAGAAGGGAAGTATTAAAATAATAAAAAATAAAACATAATAAAATAATTCTCACGACGTTTCGGCCACAACGCAAGCAGCCGTCTTCAGGTGAAAACCCGGTCTGTCGAGGCGACAGCGTTGGAATACCTTATGCCAGAAACAGTGTGTTGACCAGTGTATAATCGGCCCCGGGCCCGTCCCCCGCAGGTGCTAATCCCGGTCGGAGACGACGCCGGGGGCGACGGCGCCAGCGGGAGCGTCAACCGCCAGGTGTTTGAAGGCCCCTCGGGCTCCCTTCTCCGCGCGTGCGGCGCGGTCATCGACGGCGTCGCTCGCAGCATCGCCTCGGCGGCGGCCGGAGGGTCGGACGGCAGTCGGCCCGCGACGCCGCGTAAGACCCCGGCAGGCGGCGGAGGAGGAGGAGGAGGAAAGGAGGCGAGGCTGTCATCGTCTTGCTCGTCGCTGTCCTCCTGCTCCGGAGCATCGACGGGGCACAGGGAGGGCATGTGCGGGCGCGCGTCGGACCTCGTGAGGTGAGGGCGGAGCGTGACGAGGTTCGGGGTCACGGTTGTGGTCAGGGTTAGGAGGTCCGTTAGGTCAGTGGTTGGAGTTGGATTCAGAGGTTATGATGAGAGTTTTCCTTGGGTCAGGACGTCGGGTTAGTGTTATGGATTAAGATTTACCTTTAGGCTTTGGGTTAGTGCAGTCGGGGTGTCACAATTTAGTCAATCATCATGGCCGGGCAGAGTGATTTCATTATAAATGTTAGTTTTAGATACGGAGATGAAAAATATGTGCAATGTGGCAAATGTAGCTCCTTTCGTGGCCTCTGTTGTAGTGGTCGCGTGAACCAGTGGCACGTGGCGTGGATGAATCGGCACTCGCTCCCTTCATCGTTGCACAGAATCAAGGGAACCACGACCCGCGCGAGAGCCATGTGCAGCCTCCGCACTGAGTCATGTTATGCGCCTTGCACAGTGCAGTAAGCGAGCCTCAGCGTGCGTGCGTGTGCATGGTGGTCTAGCGGTTAAGTGGGGAGCGGTAGTATGGCGGTTAGCGCGCTGCGCTATGAACCCGGCGATCCGGGTTTGATTCCCGCTCACGGCCAACACCAGTGACGATTATCTGAACCAGTCCTGGGCCTCCCCTAGGTCGACTCAGCCTCAAATGAGTACCTGGTGCGGTGTGTAAACATCGCCACTGGGGAGACAAAGGTAGTCGGGCGTGGTGCTGGCGACGCACCCCCTCGTGTACCGTTCCGGCCTTCATAAGTGCTCGCTAACAGCACTTGCCCCTACAGTTTGTCAAGGCTATACGGGGGATCTTTGTAGCGGTTAAGCGCACTGCGCTTCAAAGCCGGCGAACGGAGTTCGATTCCCGCTCACGGCCAACATCGGTGGCGATTATCCGAATCGGTCCCAGTGCAACGTCTAAACATCGCCACTTGGGAGACAAAGGCGGCCGAGGCGTGGCGCTGGCCACCCACCCCCTCGTGCGCCGTGCCGGCCTTCACAGGTGCTCGCTAGCACCGCTTGCCCCAACGGTCTCTGAAGGCTACACGGGGGGGGGGCTGGGATCTTTGTCTTTGCCTGTACGTGCAGCTACATGGTCCACGCTGGCGTGGCCGAGAAGCTCTGCCGCTGTCTACGCTCGGTGCAGGGCTCCGTGGACGACCAGCCGCGCACCTCGGCCTTCCTGGCCCACGCCGTGCACCTCCTGCGCGCCTCCTGCACGCTCGCACGCCTCGTCGCGCCCAGGTCGCTGCCCGGGCTCGTCCATCGGGGGGCGGTGGCGATGGTGGGGTCGGGGCGGGTCACGTAAACGGGATCGGTGGGGGGGGTTGGGGAGGGGTGGTGGTCGGCCAGGGTTAGGGTCACGTAACTGGGTGCTGGGGTCAGGGTCGGGGTTACGGTCACGTCAACGGGAGTGGTTTGGACGGCGGGGTTAGGTCTGGGGTCGGGGTCGTGTCACGGGGTGGTTAGGGTCATGGCTAGCATAAGGGGGGAGCGGAATGACGGGGTGGGTGTGAGACGCTGGGTGGGGGCGTTTGAATGACGTGTGGGATGTGGTTGACAGAGGCGATGGCGACCGTGCAACGCCGGTGCCAAGGCAGCGCACACACATGCACGCACACACATGCACGCACACACATTCACGCACACACATGCACGCACACGCATGCACACACACACATGCACGCACACGCATGCACACATACGCATGCACACATACGCACACAACATGCACGCACACACACGCACACACACGAACGCACACACATGCACGCACACAACATGCACGCACACAACATGCACGCACACACACGCACGCACACACGTGAACAAAGACAAAGATCCCCCGTATAGCCTTAACAGACTATTGGGACAAGTGCTATTGGCTAGCACCTATTGAGGCCGGCACGTCACACGAGGGGGCCGCCTTTGTCTCCCTGGCGGCAGTGTCTTTACACACTGCAACAGGTACTCATTTGAGGCTGAGTCAACCTAGGGGATGCCAGGGACTGGTTCAGATAATGGTCATCAGTGTTGACCGTCAGCGGAAATCGAACTCGGGATTCTGCCGCGTTCGTAGCGCAGCGCGCTGACCGCTACACTACTGCTCCCCACGCACACACTGACACACACTGACACACACACTGACACAGACACTGACACACACACTGACACACACACTGACACACACACTGACACACACTGACACACACACTGACACACACACTGACACACACACTGACACACAAAGACAAAAGATCCGCCCGTATGGGCATCTACGAAGGCCGACACAGCACACGAGGGTGTGGCCAGGACCAAGCAGGGGCCGACGTGCACACCCCGCACCACGTACTCAATTAATGCCGAGTCTACCTAGGGGAGGCCCAGGACCGGTTCGACTAGACGCCACCGGTATTGGTGGCGACGGGGAATGGGAGCTCGGCTCGCCGGGGGGGTCGTCGTCGCGCTGACCGCCGCGCCGTCCCTCCCCGCCGCTCAGGTCTGGCGGCCAGAGCCCGTTTGACACACGGAGGCCGGACGGCACGGGCCTGGCGTCGGTGCTGCGCCTCACGGAGGCGGCCGGGGTGCTCAACCTCCTGTACTGCACACTGCTGCACGGCGCCGCCCCCGACCGGGACGCGGCGGCGGCGCCGGCACCGGCGGGGACGGGGGCGGCCGCCCCTCCGGTGGCCGCGACGACGGCGGCGGCGTCGTCGGTCCGCGCGTCGGCGCAGGATGGATACCCAGCGCACACGCTGGGCGTCGCGCTCGAGGGGGTGCGACTGCTCAACAGCTTCGCCTTCCTCGACCTCGCCGCCTTCCAGGTGCCGCGGCGACGATGCGCGGCGGCCATTCTGAGACTACGCGCTTTCGGGTCGCGTGCATTCGCTCGATCGTGCGAGGGCGGTCGCGTGCGGTTGGCTCATTGTGGGCGGTCGGTCTCGTGCGGTGGCCAGGAGGTGGTGGGCTCCGAGGGCCTGTCGCTGGCGTTCCGCCACATCGCCAGCTCGCTGCTGTGGTACTGCTCGCACCACGCCGTGCACCGAGCTGCTGCACGCCGTCATCGTGTGCGTCGGGTACTTCACCGTCAACAACGCCGACAACCAGGTGGGGGCTCGCGCGCAACACGCTCGCACGCGGCGCGCGCGTATCCACAAACACGTACGTGTGTCCCGTGCCCCGTGGTCCGCCCGGCGCCTGACTCGCCGGGCGGCAATCGATGGGTCGAAACGCGGCCGCGTTCGCGCGGAGAGGCTCGGGCGGCCGGGGAGTCCAGGCGCGAGCGCCGGGCCCGCGCCCCGCTGTTCGCAGCGCGTGGCGACGCCGCGATCTGTGCATTGATTTGACTCGCCTCCCCCGACGGGTGCTGCTTTGTTTTAATAATTAATCGCTCGCAGCCGCTTGGTGAGTCGTTGGCTGGGTGCAGGCGCTCCCCGCAACCGTGTCGGTCGGGGGTGGGGGTGGGGGTTTGCGCCATACTTCACCACGTTGAGGAGAGTGCGGGGTTGGTGTAGGGCAGGGCAGGATGGGCACAAATATCCCAACCCCATCAAAATTACACTTTATTGTTATTGTTTAGGGTTGCATACGGTAAAGGTGTAGCCCTGCAATGTCCTGCCACTGCTGGCAGAAGGGCTTCCACTAGAGAGGCACTCTTGAGGGTGTTTGGTCTACTCTTCTACGCTGACCAGGCATCTTGGAAGAGGTGGGAATACCCACACTTTACCCCACCATGCATGACCTACCAATCGACTAACTTCGGCTGGGGGTGGGGGGGGCGGGATTCAAGAAACTTTGCCCCATCGTTTCAACCGCCGCGCCGGGAGTTCGAATCGAACCGGTGACCTCTGGGCGCTGTGCTGACCACTACACCACCCCCTACACCAGAGACAAAGACAGAGATCCCCCGTGTAGCCTTAACAAACTGTTAGGGGCAAGTGCTGTTAGCGAGCACCTATGAAGGCCGGAACGGCACACGAGGGGGTGGGTGGCCAGCACCACGCCCGACCGCCTTTGTCTCCCCAGTGGCGATATTTACACACACCGCACCAGATTATCAGGCTGAATCGACCTAGGGGAGGCCCAGAACCGGTTCAGTTAACCGTCACTGATGTTGGCCACTGCGCCACCCGTGTGTTCACTGCCATGCCATCCGACTCGAGCCAGTTTGATTTCTTTCTTCTCTTATTAGGGTGGGGGTGGCGGTGTCGGGGCGATATATAAATGGCCGTTAAAATAAGTTACTTTGTCCCTTACGTATAAATTTGCAAGAGGCACACTGTAAAGGAAAAGCCAGACCGCACGCCCATTATAAACCTATCACTCTGGTTGGTGTAAGCAATAAAATTAAGTACATTACCTAATTCCTCTTTGAAGTTCCCTTAGTCCTTCACCTCCCGCTCGCCGGCCTTGTTCGGCCGGTTAGCCTCGTTACAAAATTACTCAACATCATAATCACCATCGTAATCATTTGCAGCTCTTTGGCAATCCACGGCCGGATGAAGGCCCTCCTACGCCGTTTTTAGGCTCGTTTGACCATACTTCACCACGCTGGTCAGCGCTGGTCGATGAAGTCTGGGAGGCTCAGAACCCAATTCGTACATCGCTCGCCACTAATGTTAGCCATGGCCGGGAATCGAACTTGCCAATTTGGTAACGCAGTCCCGTGAACCTCTGTGCCACCGCTGTCCCCACCGTCAGAAAATCAACATCAGCCGCAATAAATCCACTGCTGGGTGGATGCGTTCCCAAGTCACCGCCACCTCTCATGACCCCGCGATGTAACAATCCGCCTTGCACCAGCACACCGGCTGATCTCACCGTCCTGAGCGACTCCTTCAGCATTGTTGACCATCGCCCATCGCCCCTTGTGACGGACGTAATATCATTTGCACGTGGCCAGGCGACCGGGGGGGGGGGGTGGCCATCGGGGCGAATGTTGGGCTCCGTCCCTCGAGCGGCGTCCACGGAGGCCGCGCTCGGCACGCCAAGGCGGTGCCCAGTTGTCTTAAACTGTAAACTATAAAAAAACTATTTTTATTTTAACAGGTAAGGCCCACTGAGCTATATAGCTCTTTTTTCATAAGCGAACTGGCCACAAATGATTGCTCAACTAAGGGGCTTGTCACATGTATATTTATCGTCAGCCAAATATTCTGAACGCATGTTTCTAAATGTAGAGGGAAAAACCAGAGGAGCCGGAGAAAAATCCACAAAACCACGCGAAGAGAGACACGCAAACTCCAAATATACAGCCGGCGTCAGGGTCGGCATCGAACCGACGACCTGTATACCAGGCGAGGTAGTTAACATCTCCTAGCCACCGTGATGATGATGAGAGAGAGAGAGAGAGACACGCAAACTCCAAATATACAGCAGGCGTCAGGGTCGGGATTGAACCCACGACCTCCTGTATACCAGGCAAGGTAGTTAACATCTCCTAGCCACCGTGATGATGATGAGAGAGAGAGAGAGAGACGCAAACTCCAAATATACAGCTGGCGTCAGGGTCGGGATCGAACCCACGACCTCCTGTATACCAGGCGAGGGAGATAACATCTCCTAGCCACCGTGATGATGATGAGAGAGAGAGAGACACGCAAACTCCAAATATACAGCAGCAGGCCATCAGGGTTGGGATATCGAACCCACGACCCTCCTTGTACACCGGGCGAGGTAGTTAACATCTCCTAGCCACCGTGATGATGATGAGAGAGAGACACGCAAACTACAAATACAACAGCAGGCGTCAGGGTCGGGATTGAACCCACGACCTCCTGTATACCAGGCGAGGGAGTTAACATCTCCTAGCCACCGTGATGATGATGAGAGAGAGAGAGAGACACGCAAACTCCAAATATAAAGCAGGCTTCAGGGTCGGGATCGAACCCACGACCTCCTGTATACCAGGCGAGGGAGATAACATCTCCTAGCCACCACGGCGCCATCATGCAGACGGTGACGGCGCGGCCTGGTGTACCTGCGGTGGCCAGGCAGACCCGGCTCCAATTAATCTCGCAGTGCCGCCCACCGCGCTGGCTGGCTGGCGGAGCAGTAATATTTACATCGACTTGTAAAGCCAGGCAGCCGTGTGTGCGAACCGCACTCCCTGATGGACATCAAAGGCCGCGCCGTGACCATTCCCACAGATTTCACTTCACCGGTGTTTTTTTTTCGTTTTGCTTCTGAGAAATTGGGTTTTATTTTGGTCTCCGCTCGCCTCATTCCACCCCTTTAAATAGTTTGTTTTGTTTGTCGCGTCGTACAAAGGAACACGGTGGCGGGTGGCATTAATAATTGACCCGATTGCCACTGCTTTGTGAGGGTTTGGTCAGCGGCAGTGAGCCGTGTGGAGCCAGGGTGTGGCTCCTCGGGCATTGTGTGAAACGAAGCATGAGAAGGCGGTGGTGAGATCGTGGATTCAAATCCCACCATCGGCATCTATTCAGCATCATCATTCGGCCATCAGCATCGTCATCGTCATCATGGAGCCATCACCATCATCATCACCCGACCATCATCATCATCATCATAATTATTACACTGGTCAAAAAAAAAAAACATTTTTTTCTGGCCTGGACTTTTCAGGGTGCCGATTCCAAATCTGATCTCAGATTTGCTCTATCACATCTCATTTTTATGCTATCGGCATACCCCATTTTCATTGATTTTACCCGAAATTAACTCTGTCACTTATGATTGCAAGTTGTTGCGAGTCAGTGACTGCTTTAGTGTTAAAACATGGTGCTGTATTTTTAGGATAGTGTGTTTATAATATCATTGTATGTAGATATCCACATTTATTTAATATTTTTCTTCTGCAGTTTTTATTGAAAATGCAATATTTGATATCTCAAAAACCTGATGTGATAGACAAAAACTGATGCCAGATTTGGAATCAGCACCCCAAAATTACCTTAAAACCATCGGAATAACCTTATGCCAGAAAAAGTGTGTTGACCAGTGAATTATCCAGCTCTGTCGGTAAAATCGACCCAGCTTGAGAGACCCGGTCCCTGCCATAGAACTGTGGAGTTTCCACCAGCGGCTCTGAACCCAGCGCACAGACGGACACACAAAACGGCAGAAGCGAGAGAGCGTCGGGAGCAGTGCTCATTTGAGCGGCTACGAGGTGCAGCGTAACGCTGACGCGAGGTGACACGGGCGACGCGATCGGCTCGTGTTGACATTTGAGTTACGCGCGTGTGCGCTTCGCACTTCGCACACGCAGACAAAGATCGCACGTGAAACCTTCACGGACTGTTGGGGCAAGTGCTGTTAGCAAGTAGCGCCTATTGAGGCCGGCACTGTGGCACACGTGTGGGGGTGGTGTTGTCAGCACCACCCACGCCCGGCCACTTTTGTCTCCCCAGTGCCGATGTTTGGACAGCGCACCGGGTGCTCGTTTTAGGCTGAGTGAGCGTGGCGAGGCTCAAGCCAGGCTCAGATGTTACTTGCCATGCCCGGGAATCGAAGCAGATCACTATATTCTGAGCGCTGAGTGCACACCACTGTCCCCTACTACTGTTCCACCCCGTGCACGGGCACAAAGATCGTCCATGGAGCCTTGAGCAGGCTGTTAACGCGCACGATTGAGGCGTGTTGGTTTCAGCGGTTAGTGCCTTGCGTTACAAAACCCAGCGACCAGTGGTGGCATTTATCGGAACCGCTCCCGGGCCCCCCCCCCCCGAGGTCGACTCAGCCTCAAATGAGTACCTTGGCACAGTGTGTAAATATCAGCATAGGGGAGGCGGAGGCGGCCAGGCGTGGTGGTAGGCACACCACCTTCCCCCCCTTGTATACCATGCCGGTCTTCGTAGGCAGCTTGCCGTAAACATTGTGCGTATGCGCACACGCTAGGATGCGGGAGTTGCACTCGGCCACGCGATCGCGAGCCGACGGCCTCCTCCCCCCTCCCTGCGCCCAACCCGCGGGGTGCGAGAGCCAGCCGAGGGGGGACATCTGTCCTCGCGGCCGTAATTGAATTACTTTGATTCGGGACAGACCGACGTCTTTTACTTTCGCCTGCGTCGTTAGTCCTCGTTAGGCCCAGAAACACCCGGTGAGACCCCCCCCGCCACCCCCTGCCTCTCCCCCCACCTCCTCCC